GCACACATTCTATATGTGGGTAAACATACCATAAATAATTTTGGAAAAAGACCGTTCATTCAGAATTTTTTAAATTCATTGGGAGGAAATCAAGATGGCGTCTTCGAATGAGAAGGAGTAAAAATATTTGAGTAGCACCGCTGGATTGGCCATCAAAAGTTAGCATATACGTGTTTTTGACGCAAGGTCCCAGGATGTCTCTGAGACGAGATACAAGCATTTTTGATTTTTCTGTAAAAATTCCGGTTTTACCGAGTGTTGATATATCCGTGCGTTTTCAACGAGTGAACCGCGGGTTCCGCCTCGACTGAGGTGGCCGAATGGCTCACCTCGACGGAGGTGTTGAGCCAGTGCTTCAATTTTTGTTGCAACCTCGGTTGTCCGACAGAGGCAACCGATGGTTGTACCTCCGAATGGAGGAGAACAACCGAGTGGTTGTAGCTCCGAATGGAGGAGAACAACCGAGTGGTTGTAGCTCCGAATGGAGGAGAACAACCGAGTGGTTGTACCTCCGAATGGAGAGAACAACCGACTGGTCGTACCTCCGAATGGAGGAGAACAACCGACTGGTCGTACCTCCGAATGGAGGAGAACAACCGAGTGGTCCTCCAAATGAGGCGGAGGAGAACAACCGAGTGGTTGTACCTCCGAATGGAGGAGAACAACCGAGTGGTTGTACCTCCGAATGGAGGAGAACAACCGAGTGGTTGTACCTCCGAATGGAGGAGAACAACCGAGTGGTTGTAGCTCCGAATGGAGGAGAACAACCGAGTGGTTGTACCTCCGAATGGAGAGAACAACCGACTGGTCGTACCTCCGAATGGAGGAGAACAACCGACTGGTCGTACCTCCGAATGGAGGAGAACAACCGAGTGGTCCTCCAAATGAGGCGGAGGAGAACAACCGAGTGGTTGTACCTCCGAATGGAGGAGAACAACCGAGTGGTTGTACCTCCGAATGGAGGAGAACAACCGAGTGGTTGTACCTCCGAATGGAGGAGAACAACCGAGTGGTTGTACCTCCGAATGGAGGAGAACAACCGAGTGGTTGTACCTCCGAATGGAGGAGAACAACCGAGTGGTTGTATTTCCGAATGGAGGAGAACAACCGAGTGGTTGTACCTCCGAATGGAGGAGAACAACCGAGTGGTTGTACCTCCGAATGGAGGAGAACAACCGAGTGGTTGTACCTCCGAATGGAGGAGAACAACCGAGTGGTTGTACCTCCGAATGGAGGAGAACAACCGAGTGGTTGTACCTCCGAATGGAGGAGAACAACCGAGTGGTTGTACCTCCGAATGGAGGAGAACAACCGAGTGGTTGTACCTCCGAATGGAGGAGAACAACCGAGTGGTTGTACCTCCGAATGGAGGAGGACAACCGAGTGGTTGTACCTCCGAATGGAGGAGAACAACCGAGTGGTTGTACCTCCGAATGGAGGAGAACAACCGAGTGGTGGTACCTCCGAATGGAGGAGAACAACCGAGTGGTTGTACCTCCGAATGGAGGAGAACAACCGAGTGGTTGTACCTCCGAATGGAGGAGGACAACCGAGTGGTTGTACCTCCGAATGGAGGAGAACAACCGAGTGGTTGTACCTCCGAATGGAGGGTAACAACCGAGTGGTTGTACCTCCGAATGGAGGAGAACAACCGAGTGGTGGTACCTCCGAATGGAGGAGAACAACCGAGTGGTCCTCCAAATGAGGCATCTGGTGGTTGTCCTCCAAGTGAGGCATCTGGTGGAAGTCATTCGAGTGAGCCATCCGATGGTTGTCCTCCAAATGAGGCGTCCGATGGTTGTCCTCCGAGTGAGGCATCTGGTGGATGTCCTCCGAGTGAGGCATCCGATGGTTGTCCTCCAAGTTAGGCAACCGTCCGGCACAAGGCAACCACCGGAAATGACCGTTGCCGCGACGCCTCGCCTCATATACCCCTCCAAGGGGGCGGGGCAAGGGGCGGTCCAAAGTGGGCGGTCCAATTCGCGTGGTTAAGCATAGGCTTGCCATACAAAAACTATCCGCCCCTTCCGAGTTGGTGTGACCAATCACAGCCGGCCCCGCCCCTTTTCGAGGGGTATATAAGGCGGCCGATCTCGCCATTGTCGGTCCCTCACCTCTGCGAGCCGGCGGCCACTGAACCACCAAGAGCTCTGAGTACCAAGCGAGGACCAAAGATCCAAGGACCTGAGGACCTGATAAAGGACCAAGGATCTGAGGACCGAGCGATAAAGCCTGAAGGCTCTTTCTTCCTCGATACCGAGAAGCCAACAGGCTCTACCTCGAGTATAAAAGCCCGAAGACTTCACTTCGAGTACCGAGGAGCCAACAGGCTCTACCTCGAATACCGAGAAGCCTAAAGGCTCCATCTCGAGTACCGAAAAGCCAACAAGGCTCTACCTCGAGTAGGAAAGCCCGAAGGCTCTACTTTGGGTACCGAGGAGCTTATTGCCTGAAGGCTCTCATCACAAAATGCCGCCGAAGAAGCGTGCATCTATCGGAAGAGTTGATCCCAAGGCCAAAAAGGCCAGGGATCAACGAGACGCTGAGACCTCGGAGCAGCGCCAGGAACGGCTAGAAGGCAATCGTGCCAGAACAGCCGAGGCGAGAGCAACGCAAACGCCTGAACAGCGTGAAGCGAGTCTCTCGCAAACTCGCCTGCGGCTTGCTGCTCTGAGAGCCTCAGAAACACAAGAAAGCCGCGATTCTCGACTCGCGGATAAACGGTTGAGAACCGCTGAAGCCAGATCCCAGGAGACGGCTGAACAGCGCACATCTCGACTCGATGACGACCGAGCGAGACACGCCGAAGCCAGGTCTCGAGAGACGGCTGAAGAGCGCCATTCTCGACTTGAAGACATGCAGTCGAGAAACGCTGCAGCCAGATCCCAGGGCCCGTAGTAATCTACCCGACATGTTGGCATAAGACATGACGGCAACCTCGCGAACCTCATGACAACCTCATGTTTTGGGCATGAGGTTCACGAGTTCCTATGCCTTCTTAATAGTTATCACGGAGCAATCTGAGGTCGATCGCAAAACCATTGCACCTTGTGGGATGGAACTCTTCTTTGTTCAGCGAGAGTCAGCATACTAACCCGTTAGACTACACGTGTACATTACACATCATTCTAGGGAGCGTAATCAATCACACCAGTGATCTTGGATTAACACGTCTCTGTAACATGTACTATCTTGTATTAACATAGTGTATTAACATGTTCACTCTACGTACAAGTGGATACTGAGCTACCTCTAGACAAAGCTAACGCTTCCAGCAAGTTTACAGAAACAAAATTCAACTCCATCAGATCGCATATTCAGGAACATGCTCAAAATCATACTACATTCTATGCCGGCCGCAAGAGATAAGAAAATAACCGCTTTAGTAGGCGACAAATGCATAATTGAAGGACTAGACACATTTTTGCGCGTTTTTTTTTTGCATAAAAAACCGCCTAGAAAGATATTTGGTGAATATGGCCTTCCCTAATAAAATGTATGCTACTATCTAAGTTTCTCTTAACAGGCTAATTTTGAAGTAAATTTCACTATCTGTTGCGCAGTTTCCAGAAACGTTGACAAATTCGTGCTATCTTGAAAGAAAATTAGCATTGCTTTGGAAATCTGTTTTCATCTCATCAAATTATTGTTTTTTTGCTCAAATGAGCAGCACTATATCTGTATACTGTTTTTGAGGTCAAAACTTTCTATCTACCAAATTGAACCATCTTTGCCTTTGTGAAGTTCTCGCATTCTTATTCCATCAGAACATCGCTTATCAGAGACCAATTCAAAATGATAGATTTGTAATCAGCGTTACAAGAAGTATCGCATGGTTTGCATACATATGTGTCTTTCCAATATCTCTGGAGGCAAATGGACGTACGTCTAGAACACTTTTTCGATATATCAGCCCACCTGCTACATGACACATTGTGTGTGCCCGGGAACAGAGGGGCCGAAGTCATCCATGACATCTTCAACAAAGTCGACACAAAGAAATTAGAATAGAGTGTCAAAGAGATGCTAGTGAAACAATTTGTATGTCGTTCATCACTAGAAACTGAAACTTAGAACTTTCCAAAATGGCTACAAAAGAAATTAAGGAGTAGCTGTTCTAGCGAAAAAAAAACAAACTATTGCTTTGAGATACCTTCTAGCCTATAGATAGTCTTGCTTACTCACAGTATGTTTTAGCAAGATGTATGGAAGTCTTTCATGCACGGTTCTTTATGTTCGCTTCGCTTCGCGAGCGCTGATGTTTTACTAGCCAGGAAACGAAGGGATTAAGGAAGCGCAAACACTGCTTCCCTGAACGATATAAAATATTGTCGTCGGGGTGCAGAGCGAACTGATGAGCACGTCATTCAAATTTCGCCTAAATCGAAAAATTGCAACAATTTTCTGCGCCCCATAGCATACTATAACCTTCAGCCGGCTCATCCTCTAGTGGTCGAGATTGGCATATGACAGCTGTTACTAGCACAATCACCAAATGCTGTGTAAAAGGCATGTGATTGCGGGTAGAGGAAGAAATACTTTTGACCGCCTTTGCGGACTACTGGTCCTGACATGGTATACAACAGTGAGACGAAAGGACCAGCAGTCCGGGAGGCGGTGACAAATATAGGAGTTGGTTCTTTTATGCTCTCATTGCTCCGGCGGCTTGCATCCTCGAGCCGTCTCGCTCGCCTTGGGCCCCATCCATCCGTTCATACAAAATTCCGCGACCGCGGACCAAGGCAATCGAAACAGCTCGACGATCTAAGCCGCCGAAGTCGTGACGATGTCAGCTGAGCAGTTCCAATGGATACGTCCGCGAAAAGGCAATCTCGAAGATACATTTCGAACTATCAGAGCTCTTGTAAAGATGATACAGTAAGAGGGAATAAGATTCAACACAAACAAAACTTATATACTTTCATTTCAATCCATTTCGATTTGAAAAATCAATTCTTTTCATCATTTCAATCCAAAATTGCGCATAAAAAATGTGGTCAGTGTAGCGAAATGAATGGCACCTCACTTCTCTGCTGGTTAACTTCCTCGTGCCTCTTTGTTGCCTAAATCGAAGCTCACCAACTCACTAATGTTGAGATAATGTTATAGAACAAACGTTGAACACAACAAATAACTCACCGTTCTTTGAATTTCTCGATGTGTCTCTGCCTCTTTCTTTTTGCCCTCTTCTCCGTTCAAATCCTCCATTGAGTCCTTGCAACAATCTTCTATGTCTTCTCAGAAAGCTGGAAGGTCTTTAAAACGTCATCTATATAAACAAACGTAAGCGCAATTCAAAAATCTGCGAATAGCGGGAAACGCGGCGCGGTCCCGAAACGAACGCACTTGCAAATAGCACCTTTCGATTACTGGTTCACTAGCTGAACACTAAAAATGTCAATCTGATGTCCAGCTTATAATGAAAATTGGCCACTTGACATACACACCGATGGTTTTATAGGGCCCTGCGTGATCGCGAGGGTCGGCGCGGTTGCGGCCATTGCTAGCGCAATGATCTTCCTTGGTATTGCTTTCCTTTCGAACGCTCTGCTGCTACTGGATATTAGCTTCAGATCACTTGAGTCGATTTTGAAAAGTACGGGGTCGTTCAGTTGGTTTGAGGCCTTCTGGCATCCTGTATGCGCAATAGCCGCAAACTCGCCGACTCCCGCAATCATGCAGAGCCCTATACACTGTTCCCCGTGCCAACAGGGTTTTTGTGCATACGACACAAAAGGAAAGCAAATCAGACTGGTTAACAGGGAATTTCGGCAGAAGATTTTTAGAAGCAAAAGATCGAACTTCAAGAAAGGAGAAGAGTGAAACAAATGTAAACTCATAATCCTTCTAGTGCACTTCTTCACTTCTGATGCAAAATCAGGGAACAGAATAAAAGTAAGAAAACGTTAAAAAGACTCACCGGCATGTGCGACGAGACGGAAAACTTTCAATTTTCAGTAGTGGAAGCAATACCAGGATATAGCAATTAAGATTTGATACGGAAAGGAAGATTTTGAATCCATCAAACTATAAATACAGATAAGAAGCCGAATTAGAGTGAAAGTCTAGAAAATGGACTCTTACCTGTAGTTGACAAATCACACGTGAGGCACAAAATCATGAGTAGAAGCGAAGTGGGTTGAGTGATTGAAACCGATGAGTTGGCGAACTTTGTAGCGAGCTGAAAATGCTGAGAAGAGATTTGGGGAAAAATCTAGTGGCAGGAAGTTTAGAGACAGATGAATCAAAAAAATCGAGTAAACATTTGAAAATCAATGAAAGTGAAAGCCTCACATGTTCTGCATCAAACAAAAAAAACAATTCGTTTATGAGAAGAAGAACCAACCAACCAATCTCATCCCAGTAATATTGCTGAGAATCGACTTGATGAGTTTGCATTCGATGCTGGTCATCGGATAATAACCAAAATAGGTTGGCATTGAATCGTAACGATGAGATGAGCTGAAAATCCAGTGAATTAAGTTATACTATACGGCTGCCCACTCTCTTCAGAACAGCGCGCTGCCTCCATAACTGCAGGTGTCAAAATGTAGATTTCCAACCAAAAAAAAAGCAGGAAAGCAAGAGTTGTGGAAATCGCATTTCTTCCATAGGAAGTACATGCAATAAGTAGTAGTTACCATAGTTAAGTTAGCATAGTTAACGCGATTTCGTCTCGCGATTCTCCTGACAAGACAACTGTTACGACTACGCGTCGCGGTCAATGGACCGCTTTCTTTAGGGAGCAGCCATTGGATTGAACATCAGAACAAAACCACAGACCTAAGTCTACTAAAAAAATAGAAGATTCTGCGTAAGTTGACTGTTTGCTGAATAACAAAGCTTTAGTCACAAGTATGTCAATCGTGCAATCCCTTTGCGCAATCTCTAAGCAAGTGCACAGTTTCTGTACGGGGCTATGGGGTCCTGTGTTGACTTTTATGAGTAAAAGGGCCTACTCAACTGTTGCTCATCATCAGCGAAACATGAGCGCAAATCGAAAGATGAAGAACGAGAGATACAAGCAAATTCAAAGATCAGTATTCCCTAGGGGAATTTGTGGCAAGGTAGTCAACACCACCACAAGAATTTACAGATCAAAAGATAACGTTTATCATAATCTGATAACCATCTTTTCAACGGTACTTTCAAATGCGGATTGTTGCGAACTCCCGTCATTTTCGTAATATAGGGTCGATGCTACACTTAACAGCAAAATGAAAAAAAAGATGAAAACCTAGAGACCCACCAGTATCTGTAAAAAGATTGAAAAACGAATGTAGACGAACGCAGTTGATTAATATGAGACAGAGAATGACGTACAAGATTCCTGTGGGTTCCAGCCGATGAGCGAGCAAATTTCGTGGCGGGCTGAAAGTCCTAAGAAGAGATTTGGAAGAGTTTCTGGTGCCAGAACTGTAAAAACAAACAATTAGAAACAACTGAGGCCTAAACGTTCGAAGGGCACCAGTGAAATATGCTAAAACTCACTTGTATTACTTTGATCCTCAGAGAAAACAAATAATGACGACAAGCATCTCGACAGAAGTCTGCAAAGTTCAATTTCTGCAACGAAGTATAATTTGTGCATTTTGCTCTATGTGTGTTCGTTCTTTCTCGGGAAACCTCTCCGTAAACGAGTTGACGTTAGCAGTTATACAGCGCAGTGTTTCGAGAAAGAGTGGACAGCCACATGCGAGTTAACTTGCTTTGAGCTCACTGTTGCTTGAATCGGAGCGTGCAAATCATTGAGGATAGAAGCCAACAAGGTACTGAAGAGCAGGTATAGGCCCAATGTTATGACCAGAACTCGGAAAAACAAAGCAGGTTAACTTAACTATTACATTTCTGCGACTAACCACTCCTTTTCTAACCAGCCGTCTACATAATCAAGGATGAAACCGTGACGGCAGCTGTTTTGTCTTTTAAAGACTGTCAACAATGCGAATAAAACATTTCGTTTGCAGATCCTACCAGCAGTTTTACCATCCAAAAACATGCATGGCCATCCCTTCATCGACTGAGTGACAGAAAATCCATTCCAAAACGTAGAGAAATAATGACCGGCGATTGGTTTACTCACTGTCAGCTTACCTGTAAAATTCATAAGTAGCAAGAAACACACAATAGGAATGGAAAAAACGGTTGAAGTTATGTAAACATGCGTTCCACGACGGTTTTTTACCCAGCAAGGCAAAAAAGTTTATCATTCCAGCAGTTTTTGATATTTTCTAACTGTTTTGGACCATGAGGATGTCTCAATTGCAAAAGAAAAATAACAAAAATAAAGAAAACGTTTGAAAATCCGGCACTAAACAAAGCAATGTCATGAACCTGCCGGCATCTCGACATGGTCCGACCACGACGAGATGCCGGCAGGTTGCACTCCTCAATATGCACACTATTTTCCTTTCTTTGCTGACATGAGGGCGAGATGCCGGCAGGTTGAGGGCGAGGTCGCGGCAGAAATCTCGACAAAATACCTCACGAAGTTGCCGGCAGGTCAATCTTTTGGGTCCAAAATTTGAAGTTGTCGGGATTTTTCGGATTTTTTTCGATCTCCATCTTGTGCCCACCTCTAAGCTGGACCGTCAGTCCTGGAGAGCGCCAAACTGATTGCTTTGGGGAAGCTAGAGAGGGCGCTGACAGTTTTCATGACTTGAGGGCGAGATCGCGGCGAGTTGAGGGCAAGACCTGCCGGCAGGTAGGGTAGATTACTACGGGCCCAGGAGACGGCTGAAGAGCGCACATCTCGACTCGATGACGACCGAGCGAGACACGCCGAAGCCAGGTCTCGAGAGACGGCTGAAGAGCGCCAATCTCGACTCGAAGACATGCGGTCGAGAAACGCTGAAGCCAGATCTCAGGAGACGGCTGAACAGCGCGAGTCTCGACTCGACAGCAGTCGAATGAAGACTGAGGCCTCACGAAGAGCGGAAACTGGTGCAGCGCATTCAGTTAGGCTCGAACGTGATCGTGCTCGACAAGTCCATGCTCGACAGACATCCAGGCGAGTAGATCTTCACCTCGCGGCACTCAACTACGATGCCCAGGTAGACTACTCGACCCATCCGAAGGCACTAATCGGAAGGATGGATGTCGTATGTGGCAAGTGTCAAGCCAAGAAGTTCAGAGCCGAACCTCCTGGCATGTGCTGCTCCAGCGGCAAGGTCGATCTTCCGCCTCTACGTGAGCCGCCTGAGCCGCTTCGTTCATACATGTCCGGCACCAGTGCTGTGTCCAGGCATTTCTTGCAGAACATCAGGAAGTACAATGCGTGCTTCCAGATGACGTCGTTTGGCACTACAGTTGCCACGCCAGACGTTGAGGAACAGGGCTTCATGCCGTTCAAGGTGCAGGGACAGGTCTATCATAGAGTTGGATCCCTGCTTCCTAATGGCAATGATAGCCCCAAGTTCTTGCAGCTGTACTTCGTCTGCGACGAGCAGCTGCAAGTGGGTCAACGTTGCGGCATCATCGGTGGCACAAGGCCGGACGTCGTGCTAGAGCTGCAAAGAATGCTGCATCAGCACAACGAGCTGGTGAAGGACTTCAAAACCAACCTGGACCGAATGCCTACAGACGAGTATAAGGTGGTTATCCGTGCTGACAGGAGACCTGCTGGTCAGCGTGAACGACGCTTCAACGCTCCGTCTGTAAGCGAGATGGCGGTGGTCTTGGTTGGCGAAGACGACAGCGACGGCCGTGACATTATCATCGAAAAACGTTCCGAAACGTTGCAGCGCATCTCTGAAACCCACAGGTCGTACGATGCCCTGCAATACCCACTCATGTTCTGGGATGGGGTAGACGGGTATCACTTCGAACTATGGCAGAGGAATCTTAGCACTGGTGCCCCTACCAATAAGAGGGTATCGGCTATATGTAGATTTCTATGCGCATCGCATGATGATAAGGTCCACGTAATTCAACCACGTCGTGGAATGTCGCCAACTATTTCACCAGTTCATCGTGGACATGTACGCCAAGATTGAGAGTGAACGGCTCCTCTTCATTCGACGCAATCAGCGAAAGCTGCTTGCAGACGACTACATCCACCTGCGGGATGCCGTGGCCGGAGATGGAAATGTCACTGACCTCGGGCAAATGGTCATACTACCATCCTCCTTCACGAGCGGCCCACGCCACATGCACGAGTACACTCAGAACGCAATGGCCTACGTTAGAGCGTACGGGCGTCCTGATCTGTTCATCACGTTCACGTGCAACCCGGCGTGAACCGAAATTGCGGAAGAGCTCTTCCCTGGTGAAGCGCCTTCTGACCGCCACGACATCACGGCGAGAGTCTTCAAACAGAAGCTCACGAAGCTTATAGACGAACGCGGTCTTCCGCATGCCCACATCTTAGTGTGGCTGAAGGAGAAAATACGCCCAGATCAGATCGACAGCATCATCTCGGCGGAGCTTCCCAGTCGAGAAGAGGATCCTCTTCTATTCGATGTTGTCCTCAAAAACACGATCCATGGGCCATGCGGACCACTAAATCCGAGGTCGCCTTGCATGAAGGACGGCAAATGCACCAAAAGGTACCCTCGGCAGCTGATCCGCGAAACCCAAACGGGAACTGATGGCTATCCTCTATACAGAAGGCGAAAGCCTGATGATGGAGGACATACCGCCGTCATTCAAATGAAGGTGGACCATCAGACCGTAGACGTCGTGGTGGACAACAGCTGGGTTGTGCCATACACTCCCTTGCTCTCGAAAATGTTTCGAGCACATATTAATGTGGAGTACTGTAATTCGGTGAAGTCGATTAAGTACATCTGCAAATATGTGAACAAGGGAAGTGACATGGCAACGTTCGGCCTCGAGCATGCCACTGCACCGTTTGATGAGATCGAACGATATCAAACGGGCAGGTATATAAGCAGCAACGAAGCAGTTTGGCGTATCCTGGGTTTCAGGATACACGAACATTACCCACCTGTCACCCATCTACATGTCCATCTAGAGAATGGACGGCGCGTCTACTTCACGGCTGATAATGCGCAGGAAAGAGCTGCGCAACCACCTCAAACAGCTTTGACGGCATTCTTCCTTCTGTGCCAACATGATCCGTTCGCACCGACTTTGTTGTACTCAGAAGTTCCAAGATATTATACTTGGAACAAGTCAACAAAGAAGTGGGCCAAAAGGAAGCAAGGAGCCGAAGTTCCCGGATATGACGTCAGAGAAGCGGATGTGTTAGCGCGTGTATATACTGTACACCCTAACCAAGCCGAATGCTTCTACCTCAGAATGTTGCTTCACACAATCCGAGGACCGACGTTATTCGCAGCATTGAAGACCATCGATGGAGAAGAATGTGAGACCTACAGAGAAGCATGCCAAAGACTTGGCACAGAACTCTCGCAGAAGCAGCTACGACAAGTTTCGCTGCTCAAC